CTGGTACAAAGAATTCAGTGAAAATAGAAAAAACAAGGATGGGTTTGCGTGTTTATGGTAGGGGTGCAAACCGAAACAAATTGGTGGTCCATACTATGTATCCACCTGCAAATCGTAGTAATCCGCCGAAAGAAAAAGTTCCGCTGGATAAAACACTTTCACAACGCTTTTTTGGGGTTTTCCAATGGCATCCACAAGGTTTGCTAGCTGGAAAAAGGTTGGAGTTTTGTTGCTCTTGCTTGCCTCCGCCGCAACGGCCTTTGGAGTTTTAAATGTCTAGAGAAGGGGTGGGTCTTTAGATAAGATAAGGGCAATGTAAACTTTTTTTGTTCGGTCATAAGGGCAGTAATGTAAACAGATAAGCCTTTAACCGTTTTAAGGATAAACTGTTGTTAATACTCTGTTTTTCCACCTTTTTGGTCAACTTCTATGTTGCTGCTGAATGTATTTTGCTGACCCTTATATTCTTTTAAGGATAAACTGTTGTTCACACTCTTCTTTGCACCTTTTTGGTAGACTTCTATCTCACTGATAAATGATTTTTCCTAGCAACAACCTTATCGTGCTGGGATTTTTTTTCTCTCATTTTATTTTTTATGCCATTTATGTTGTTGTTGATAGGATCTTTTAGCTGATGCTTCTTTGCTGGTTCTACACTTTTAAAGCCGTTGCTATCTTGATGTTTTAGTTTTCATAGTGAGCTGGCCTCTCTTGTCATCGACTTTTTCCTTTGCTTATATCGTCTCATGCTGAACAAAGCCAATGTATGTAGCAAGGTTGCTAAAATTGAGTGGATTTGTTATCCAATTGCACCTTTAGTTTGTTTAGTCAGTGGGTGAGAGGGATGAGACATGACGGGTATGGCGGGTTGGTGAGTCGCTGAAGTACTGGATCAGATGTTAATGGCTGCTTAAATGGGGTTTTAGTATACAGATGTTTAGATTAGGATTTTTTTTTTGCCATTTTGTGATCCAGATCTAATTGTAGGTTTCGTGTTGCATGTCTCCATCTTTAAAATTTAATTTTTTTATTAAAAACAGAGCATATAGCAGCATGTGAAAATATATGGATTAAACTATAAATGCATACGTTACACACTACGGACACAAACCAACACGAACTCAAAAATAGCCGGAGCGTCTATAAGTGTCATTGTATTTGTAAATAGTACTACAAACACATCATAATTCCACACGACCCGCCCCATTAGTGTTCTATTCAAATGCCTATGGATCTCATATCAACATTTACGAGGATTCAACACCTGAATCATTTGATCCTGGAGCATACTGTTCAAAATCACCACGGTTGATGTATCATTTTCACTTGCTTTACTTGCCTCCCAGGCAGAAATGGTGGCTTCTCCACTTTTCCCCCAAACAGATACGGTATCTTCTCTGGCGGTATTTGTTCGTATGCTGGAGTGGTATCTTCTCCTGCCTTGCCTATCCCCCAAGTAGGTGCGGCATGTTCTTTAGCTAGAGTTTTACCCCACGATGATGAAGAGCATCAATTGTGTGGCTCTTGCTTTTTTTGCCTTTGCTTTCAGCAACGATTTTTGGTGCCGTAATGAATTTTTCTCATAACGCATATAAAAACCTTTTACTTTGGTGCTTTTATTAAACCTAGAAAAACGCATATCTCACTTTTACAATTTGATTAGTAGTTGTTGAATGGATTTACCTAATTCTTTTACTATCAATTTGATTTTACATGCTTTGTCGGTTTTTATTCGTGTAAGTATATAAAAACTGCGTCATGAATTACAATTAGTCAATCTATAGATGAGCTGGCATTGTTAAGTGATGCGCTTAAACTCAAAACATGCTAGAGTATTTCTATCATTAATAATTTGTATCAAGCTCAACATTTCATAAAAGTCCAAATTGAGAGCTTTGTGAAAAAGAATGAAACTACATCACAACATTACATTGCTTGTAACACATGCTAATATTTTTTTAGCTAGAGCAAAAGTCCATTATCTTGCCTTCCGGACTTTGTCATGGTTGCAATATCTGGTGATTTATTTTATCCTGTTAGCCTGTTGTAAGATCAACCAAAAGTGTTTTTTGCCCTGTTGTTATTCTTTTGCATTATATGCTTTTTTTATTATTAGCTCGATTGTGCTTTAATATTGTTGGTCTTTCTCGGTGTTAAATTGTTCATGCTGTCTCACTTTTGCATTATATGCTTTTTTTTATTATTAGCTCGATTGTGCTTTAATATTGTTGGTCTTTCTCGGTGTTAAATTGTTCATGCTGTCTCACTTTTGCATCTAATTAGTCAACCTAGGACAAAATTTAAACGTTTTAAATCCTGATCGTCTCTATTTCAGGCAATTCATTTTTTTTTTGCTAACCCAAAAGCTTTTGCTAACCTAAAGGCTTTTGATGCATGTCATTTCTTTAAAGTATTAAAACATACGTCGTTCCAATTATATATGCGTTTATATTTTCTCTTCCTTTTTGTAGGTTCTACAACTTTTGTTTTAATCGTTGCAATCTTGCATTACTGCTCAGTAGGATTTGTGCCCAACTACAATCCCGTCTCTATATCGGTTAGATTTTCTGCACCTTTAAGGAACATCACCTTCTTCATTTCTGTTTGCTCTTTTGAGACCTTATGGTTGCTTTGCTGTTTGATCTTTATGTTCGTCTTCTTTATCGCTATTTTTTTAGCAATCGTTGCATGCTTTATTCATACCTTTTACCGTTTCAACGGGAAACAACGCTGTTCAAGAAGACAGCCGCATATTAAGTTTCTCTATTATTTGTTCTAATCTAATCTCATTATGATTGTGTTTTTACTGTTATGTTTAGAATGTGTTTGTGTTTTCAATCACCCCTTGCTTTAATGGGTTATAGCTCGCTGCTAATTTCATTTGGTTTAGATGGTTCTTTTGTTGATGTGTTGCTTTTATTAAAGAGTGCGCTACTGTTTCTGATTTTTTCCCCTTTGTATAGTTTTATGTCTAAACGAATAAGGCGACCTAGAAGGGCCGTTGAAATTCAACGTGCCTATTTGGATGCGGTTGTTGCGGATGGTGATCTCAATAATTCAGAGTTGCAAGATGTTCCCACCGCTTACGACGATCAAGATAATGATGTTTCAACATCTTTGAACAACCAAGACAGCCTTCCCCAAACATTTGCATCAGCTTTAAAACAAAATATTCCCATCCGTGGTGTTTTTAACCCACATTTCGAACCTGGGACAAGTTCTCATCAGATTTCTGTACCGGTTTTCCTTGCTGATCGTGCCAATGAGCACAGTTTGTTAGCCATTCATGCTCAAACCAATCATTCTGGCTTGAACCCGCTGATAACCAGACAAGCCAACTATCAAAAAAAAAGAAAAAGTATGCAATCTTTCAACATAACTCTATTCTCATTCTTACTAATTTCAAAAGTTAAGTTTCCTCCATCAGTTAACTTAAGGTTGTCGATTTGATGAATTCTTATGTTAATCTTTGTTTTTATAGGGATTGATCTAGAATATGTTGATTTTGGCTTAAGAAATTGTCAATGTCAATATTGCGGTGCTCTGTTTTGGTCTACAGAACAGTCCGCCAAGAATGCTTCATCTTCTACCTTGCAGTTCACCACGTGTTGCATGAGTCAAAAAGTAAAATTCCCACGCGTTAAACCCACCCCTCCTTATTTGGATGATTTGTTGAATCCCAAAAATTCTCGAAACAGCTTGCAATTTAAAACAAATATTAGATCGTATAATTCAATGATGGCATTAACATCAATGGAGCCAAAGTCGATGCATCAATCAACAAGGGTCGGGGTCCTTATGTTTTTAAAATTAATGGTCAAGTCCATCATTTGATGGGTTCTTTATTGCCTCTGGAGGGCGAAATTCCTAAATTTGCACAACTATACATTCATGATACTCAAAATGAAGTCAGTAATCGTATTGGTTGTTTTAGTGGATCAGAAACGGTTGAAAAACTCGACCATCATGTTGTTGATGGCCTCATTAAAATGCTAGACGACTGTAATGAGGTCGTTAAGCTTTTTAGACTCGCTAGAGATATGATTGATGAAGGGTCCACAAGTCATTTACGTTTGCGTTTATACGGTGCACAGGCTAACCATGATGCACAATATAATTTGCCGGCGTGTGACGAGATAGGTGGCTTGATAGTTGGGGATATCGGCGAATTCCACACTGAAAGAGATATCATTGTGGAGCATAGGACGCATGGCCTGCAAAGAATCACAAAGTTACATCCTAAGTACATGGCACTACAATATCCTCTTCTTTTCCCCTACGGTGAAGATGGGTATAAGAAAGGCCTTCCTTGGAATCCAGATTATAAAGGGAAAAAACCAAAAACTGGGGGAGTATCACTGAGAGCGTTTCTAGGTTATCAAATTCAGGATAGACCAGGACAAAATGACACCCTATTGAAAGGTGGTAGATTGTTTCAACAATATTTAGTTGATGCATATGCCACGCTTGAAGAAGATAGGTTAGATTTTATTAGGACAAATCAAGATTCTTTTAGAACAGAAAATCTTAAAGCAATTCATGAAGCTCTCAAAGCAGGAAATACAAGCAGTTCTGGTGTTGGCAAAAGAGTCATTTTGCCAACTTCGTTTACTGGCAGCGTTAGATATATGATAAATAATTATCAGGATGCGATGGCCATATGCCGTCACTTTGGAAATCCTGATTTATTTATCACTTTCACCTGCAATGCTAAATGGCCTGAAATTATTGAAGATCTACGTGATAAACCTGGTTGTAGGCCTGAAGACAGGCCTGATATAGTCTCCCGAATTTTTAAAGCAAAGCTTAACCATATGATTAAATTCATCAAATCAGGGAAACCTTTTGGCGATGTTGAATCAGGTTAGTTAATCGCTCTTGGCCAAAATTTTCCCTTTCTTTGTTTATCTATCTAATCATTACATATCTAGAGTGTTTTGTTTTGATGTCTTTGCATTCTCTATTTAAAAACAGTGATTTACACGGTGGAGTTCCAAAAACGAGGTCTTCCTCATTGTCATATCTTGGTCTGGGTGAACAAACATTATAAATGTCATTCTCCCTACGATGTTGATTCTATCATTTCGGCTGAGATTCCTGATGCAGATCTTGACAAAGTTGGGTACGATGCGGTTTCACAGTACATGATCCATGGGCCATGTGGTCTTGCAAATCGATTTTCACCATGCATGAAAGAAAACAAATGTTCAAAAAAATTTCCAAAACCTTTTACAAGTGAAACCACTTTTTCTGATGATGGTTTCGTTGCATATAAGCGTCGGGATATAGAAAATTTGTTTGTTCTAAAAAAAGGAATCAAGCTTGATAACGCATTTGTTGTCCCTTATAATCGTGAGCTATTATTGAATTATCAAGCGCATATAAATGTTGAATCATGCTGCCAATCAACACTCATCAAGTATCTTTTTAAGTACATAACTAAAGGTGTTGATCTGGCTAGAGCTGTTTTTGAGGATGAAAAGTTTGATGAGGTTGTGGCTTATCTAAATTGTAGATATTTATGCCCTTACGAAGCTGTTTGGAGATTGTTACAGTTTCACATTCATTTTAGGGAACCATCGGTTGAAAGATTGTCTGTACACCTTCCATCTGACCAAAACGTTGTTTTTAGAGAGACCGATGATCTAAACTATGTTATCAACCACCCTAATCTCGAAAGAACAATGTTAACGCAATGGTTTGAAACCAATGTCCAAGATCCTGATGCACGTAAGTTATCTTATGTTGAATTTCCGACGAAGTATGTTTGGAAAAATGATGAGAAACAATGGAGCCGTAGAAAACAAGGTAGATCTTTAGGTAGGGTTGCGTATGTTCACCCTGCTGCTGGTGAATTATACTATTTGAGGTTGCTGCTAAACTACCAGAAAGGCATCTTTAGTTTTGACCATTTAAAAACCGTCAAAGAGGTTCTTGAACCCACATTCCAAGCTGCATGCATGTCCCTTGGTTTATTGGGAGATGATAGGGAATGGAATATCGCTATGTTAGAAGCAGTTATCACTGCATCATCTTTCCAATTGAGGCAATTGTTTGTCACGTTGGTGCTCTTTTGTGATGTCACTGATCCATCAGCTTTGTTTGAAGCACATTGGAAAACCATGTGCGATGACATTTCCAAGAACATGCATAACGCTTTTGGGCTACAAGATCTTTCTAAATATCAGGATGAACTTAGAAATTCGCTTTTGTACGAGTTAGAAAAGTTGTTTACAGCTTCAAATAGTTCTCTATCAAAGCATCACCTACCACAACCGAATAATCTAATGATGGATAGACTTAAAGCTAGGAGTTTAAGAGAAGAGTTAAATTATGATGCTAACTCACTAAAACAAGAGCACTCACTCCTGATCGGCCAATTAAACAAGGAGCAAAAATTAGTTTATGACAGCGTCATGGAGACGATTGACAACAATAGATCTGGCCTATTTTTTGTGCATGGTCATGGTGGAACAGGCAAGACTTTTTTGTGGACCACCATCATAACTAGAATTAGATCCCAAAATCAAATTGTTTTAGCGGTGGCTTCATCTGGAATTGCCTCCCTCTTGCTTCCTGGTGGAAGGACGGCTCACTCTAGATTTAAAATTCCTATCAACATCACTGATTGTTCGGTTTGTGAAATTAAAAAAGGGACTCATCTTGCAAAACTAATCACTGACGCTACTCTTATTGTTTGGGATGAAGCCCCCATGAATCATAAACGGTGTTTTGAAGCTCTAGATAGATCCCTTCGTGATGTTCTTAAAGGGTCAAAACCAGGCTTTGACCATTTGCCATTTGGAGGTAAACCAATTCTTTTCAGAGGTGATTTCAGGCAAATTCTTCCTGTTGTTCCAAGCGGAAGTGTTGCTGACATCGTTCAAGCTTCATTTACGAGTTCATACCTTTGGTCCTATTTAACTATATTTTTCCTTAAACAAAACATGAGGCTTTCGAAAACAGGTCTGAACGAAGTGGAAAAAAAAGAACTCGCTGATTTTGCAAAGTGGATACTAGATATTGGAAATGGTACTGTTGCCAAATCTATATCTTCAGCTGATGAAGAAAGCTCTTGGGTCGAATTTCCAAACCAATTCCTTATCCACTTTGATGACGATCCCATCAAAGCCATGGTTTCAGCTGTGTATACAAATTTCAAAGCAAATTTCCGAGATGTCTCATATCTGAAAGAAAGAGCTATTGTGACGCCACGAAATGATACAGCAACTGAAATCAACGATTTTGTGTTGGGTATAGTACCTGGCGAAAGTCATACTTATCTCAGTTTTGATTCGGTGTCTTCTGCAACAGAAAATTCTGAAAATTTAGATATTGCTTTATCCAATAGAATTTCTAAACCAACTTGATTTACCTGGTTTGCCGCACCACAAGTTGTCTTTGAAAGTTGGTGCCCCAGTGATGTTGATCAGAAATTTAAATCAAAGTCAAGGGCTGTGTAATGGAACACGATTGGTTGTAACACAATTGAACGACAGAGTTGTACAAGCAAAAATCATGACGGGAAGCAACATTGGCGAAAGAGTTTATATCCCCAGGATCATTACTGAATCATCTCAGCATAAATATCCTTTTACTGTGCGAAGACGACAATACCCTCTAAAAATTTTGTTATGCAATGACAATCAACAAAAGTCAAGGACAATCCTTGAAAATGGTTGGTTTGTTTCTATCGCAGACTGTTTTTTCTCATGGACAACTCTATGTTGCGCTATCCAGGGTCACCTCAAAAAAGGGTCTCAAAATTGTTATTGCTCACAATAGTGACATGCCTTATGGTTATACAAAAAACATTGTTTATAAAGATGTATTGAAACATTTACATACAGGTATACGTTTATGTTCACATTTTGTCCCTTTGTTATTTTTTTTGTTTGTAAGCATGGCTCCACCATTTCTTTCATAAATCACCCTATTCAATGTTGAATTTAATTTGCTTCTAAATTTTTCATCTTTTGCTAGATTAATGGATGCGATGCCAATTAGTTTTCTGACGCCGTACCAACCAGGAAACAAACTCTAGATCAGGGTTTGTAGGATATGGGTCACGAAGAGCATCGGAAATGATCCTCAACCAACAAGTCTTGATTGTGTATTTGTTGATAAACAAGTAAGATTCTTACACCTTTTAACCTGTCGTCAAACACTACTATTTTCGTGTATCAAAATGTGCACACAATTATTACAGCACACTTTTGTGATCAAACTTATCTTAAAGTTCGTGAACCAAATCCTCTACACAATTATACATCATTTCTGCATAATTAATATTTGGCGAATTGTTTTGCTAGATTCAATGTTAGCCCTCGACATTCATTTAGAGGTTGCATTTAACCAGTTCATGCAGGTGAACAACAAATCAAAATTCCATTTTTTTCCCTATAATAGCATGGCTTAAAATAAATTGCATTATTAACAAAAATATTCATGGTACACCATACACAATTCGGCTCTCTTTATATTTCACTAGAGAGATTATATTTTGTTATTTTTGAGGAAGATTTTTTAACTGAACAAACGAAGCTGAGTATCAACTACCAACTATTCTTTTCCTTAATTTATTTTCTTCTTTTTTCCTACCTGTACAAATGAAACTAAATATATATTTACAAAGTTGCTTCAATTGCTGCGAATTTCATTCTTAAAGTAATCTTCTCTATTATCTTCCATATGATCTTACATGTTATCTCTGTAGGAACCACTATGCTACGCTTACTTCTTACGTGGTTCCATAACCTTTTGCGTTAAATGTTCTCCTGCTCATTTAGTATACTGTCTGATTTTATTTTTCTTCTTCTGAAAGGGGGATGCGGTTCATGCAACCATGAACAGTCGAGACATGCAATATTTTTTTAACCATCTAAGGGTTGGCGAAGCATACGAAATCAACAAATTTCGTGTTGTTCACAACAGGACATCAAGCAAGGTTGTCCCTCATGCTGCCATAATTGAATTGAACAGCAAAACCACAATCGTTCCTATTGACAAAACAAGCGAGGAAATCCCGATGCATTGGTTCAATTTAATTGAGCTTGAGCAGCTTTACGAAAAAATCGATAGGGATGTTGAACTTACAGGTAACAAATTTACTCTTAAGCACCACTCCAAAATATGAGAATCATTTAAATTTTTTTGTTGGCTTTGGTGCACACTCATTCTCGCTAATGAACATCGTCTATAGATATATTTGGTTGCTTGACGGCTGTGCAGCCAATTGAAGAGGTAACCATCCAACGCACAAGAATTGCAAAGAAGAGAAATCTTAATCTCCAAAATATCAGGTTATTTCTATATGCGTTAAACTCTGATTACAATTTTCACATATGACACCGTAGACGTAACGTATAACTGACTGACACCTTCTTAATTATTTACAGGGGTGAAACAGTAAGGATCACCTTATGGGGAGAGACTGCGACAAATTTTGAGGACAGTGGAATACAATCGTTATTGCCACCCGTGTTTGTTGCTTTAACAAGCCTCAAAGTTAAACAATACCAAGGTCATGCCCCGACATGCTTTATTAAACTGCTTAAAGTTTCAATTTGTTCATTATTCTCTTTTTATCTATAGGAAAGCCTGTTCTTGGAAGCACAGGATCAACCGTTTATGTTTTCAATCCGGACATTCCACAACTCTCTGAATACAAGCGCAGGTAAATAAACAACCCTTCTTTAAGAACTTTTGCATTTATATTTTTTAGTTTAATCTTTCTCACCCAAAACATGCAAAAAAAAGGTTTGAGCATCTAAAATCACCTATGCGGATCTTGCCCAGCTCAACTGACATGTATACAAGGCATGCTATTGGTGCTGCTTCTGAACCAAAAACGATAGACGAGTTGCTTTTACTTGATCCTACGTTGCACAAGGTTAGTCTCTCATTACCAACCTGTTACAAAAATTTCAAACTGTTACAAAAAAAACACACCAACAATTATAATGCTCCGGAATGAAATCAATTATTTAATATCAAGATCAATGAAGATATGATATCCCTAAGATATCTCAAAAGGAAAGTCAAATATAAGATGTAAAATTCATTAAGCTATTAGATGCCTTTTCTTTATGGTTATTATGCTTAATATTTATGTAAGCATAGGCTTTAGAATAATAACTAACATGAATGAGAAGTACAATCAAACTGAACAAGCAGTCCACCAATATGCTGTTGCCAACGTGCAATACCCCCAGGATATTAAAAGTATGACAGAGTGCCTATTCGTTTTTCTCCATGTTTCCAAAGCGATGCTTAAATGATTAATGAAAATATGATACCCCTAAGACATCTCAAAAGAAAAGTCAAATGCAACATGTAAAGTTCATTAAGCTATCAGATACCTTTTCTTTATGGTTATCACGCTTAATATTTATGTAAACATAGGCTTTAGAATAATAACTAACATGAATAGGAGAAACAATCAAAGTGAACAAGCAGTCCACAAATATGTTGTTGATAACTTCCAATAACCAAGATATTAAAAGTATAACAGAGTGTGTATTCGTTTATACACCATGTTTCCAAGGTGATGATTAAATGTCGATGATCATTTTAAAACCTATGTTTCAATAACAGAATGCAAGTTTCACATGCAAAGCGACTGTTGTTGACTTCGATTTGGCCAGAGGTTGGTGGTACAACTCTTGCCCATCCTGCCATAAAGTTGTAAAGAAGATGTCTGGATCATTTCAGTGCAACGAACATGGTTTGATAAACAAATTACCCGAACCATGGTAATAATCTTTTGCATCTATTTTACGTCTAACGGTTATATTAAGTTGTTGAGTCCTTTTTGAAATTCTTATGATTATCAAATTCACACATAATAATGCTTTTATATCTATGATATTTTATGCGACGAGAAGGTAGAACATGTGACGAGCACACAGCTTTCTTCAACCAACATATATTTTTGCATTCACTCTCATGCATATGTTGGTCTTTGATTCATGATCTAAAATGCGTGCATACAAATAACTTTACAGTGGTCTCCATCTCCATTATACTTTGACTACTGTTTGACCCTTGGGAGTGTATTAGTGACATTATCGTAAATATTCCTGCTATAATGTGTTTAGGATACTCTACACCTATAGTGTTTTTCCCACCTTTAAAGAAGAAACTTAAGAGTTTCCAAAACAACCATAATGATGATACGTGAATGCTGCTTTGATGTAATAAGTCAATAAAATTTACACCGCTTAGGAGGAATGGTTGTTTTCTCAGCTATTGTCATATGACCGCTTTTAAATATTCTAGCACACTTTCTTTAGTTTAAAGTTAACTGGTATGTTGAATTCAATAAGTTCAGTGACGAAATGGATATTGTAGGACCTCTCCATTTTGGTTACCAACTTTCGCTTAGAATGTATGATTGTCAAACACAAAATATCCTCCTCTTGCACAGGTTCAAGATCAATCTGATTGTCGAAGATAACACGAACCAACACAACTTCCTCATGATAGGAAGGCAAGCCGAAAAGATGCTTGGCGTTTCTTGCTACACTTTGGTGATAGAGAACGGACACGAGGACCCTTTCGTGGTGCCACCAATTCTTAACAATTTGGTCGGCAACTCAAAAACATTTCAACTCTCTTTTGGAAAGCAAAACACCGACTTTGCAAAAACAGACTTCATCGTTAATGGACTGGTTGAAGACCAACCGCTCTCCAACCCAACAATTGCCTCAGTCATACCACAAACACCCGCTACCAGTCTAGGCAAACAAATTACCAGTCAAGCAACCCCCCCCCATTGACACCTTCCCAACAACCAGATCAACAACCCAAATCAGTTGCACCCGCCATAACTTCAAAGAGAGTATTGTTCCCTGATCAAACGGACAAACCTGACAGGTAAAGTTTTCCTGACAATAAATGTTGTCATGTGTCAATCTTAATAATTATACTTGCTTCTCTTCAGTGTAAATCTAGCCAATCATGAAAAACTGTCTACAAAACTTTTTGCACCACTCTTTCGCACTCTTCTCCATGGCTATCATGTTTCTCTTTAACCTTACAAAATTTACCTTCATTAACAGCAAAAAACCTCGCCCCCAGCAAACAGACACAACCAATTCTGCAAGAATTGCTAGAGAATTCCACAATCTGGTTGTCCCCAAAATTGAACCGGCCGACAAAGTACCGATAGCCGCACTCAAGACAAAAACTCAGGCCAAAAAAACCAAAGATAGGTAAATTATAATTTGTTTTTCACACCCACATCTACACAATATCAATGATGGCAGTATCTGCTAAATTATTATTTATGTGTTTTTGCTATAGTGTGGAAGATGTCCGATCTCAGAAAAAGTGAACACCCACAATCTTCATCATCGAGTGCTACAGG